ACTTTATAAGTAGTACATTTTTTTAGGAAAATAATTAGTAATAATTAAAATAGTTATATCATTAAGTTTTGAGTTGCCTAACTTCAAAGTCTTTGCTTGTTCTCCAATCCGAGGCCCACGATTTCTTCATCCTTAATTTCCACCATGGAAGCTTCCTCTTTTGAAGATATCTAGAGGCTTTACATATTTAATTTATTTACTCTTTTTGTCCATTTTATTTGTAAAAAAAGATATAAATAAAGATATAAATTTTGGTTATTTTTATTTAAAATATGAATTTTGTTAATTTTTAAATAAAATAATAAATTTTTAATGTATTCTTTTCTATTTAAAAATATTAATTTTAAGTTTTTTCATTTAAAAATTAATTGAATGGTGATGTTAATATGTCAAATGGCTTTTTTAACAATCTAATTAATTATTGATTAAAAAATGTAAAATTGGCATTTTTATATAAAAAACACAAAATTAACATTAAATAAAAAAATTAAAAATTTATTATCTTATTTATAAACTAACAAAATTTACATGCTTAAAAGAGAAAAAAAAAAAAGAATTTATTTCCTTATCTATACGTTTCCTTTTAATGTCACAATATGCATTTTTAAGTGATAATTTTTTATAATACTAAGTATATATTTTATTTCATGAAAAAAATTTAAATTTTCATTGATATACCATAGGGATCAATCTTAGCCACCACAACACACTTCTTCGGCCCAAACAATTCTAGCGTAACTAATGGCACAGGTTACTGCATCGTTATATTATGAAGCTTGGATCTCTATAAGCTTGTTTAGGGCAACATCTTAGCCACGCAACAAATTTCTTCCTAACAAACAAATTTGTCCTACGCAATGAAACAGGTTGCAAGTTTTCCCCTATTATGACAAGTTATTGGATCTCTATCAGCCTATTTTCAAACACATATAATCAAATAATAAAAAGGTACATCAAAGCAAAATCTTGTGCCCAGGAACTAATAAGGCAGGCATCCAAGCTAAACATTGTCTTCTACTTGCAGGATTGCTTGGATAAAAGCTGGTGAAATCGTGTTCACTGCTATGATGGCCACTTGCACTTGAACCTTGTGTTGTCTGCTCCCGCTATGAAAGATAATTGGTTTGTTGAGGGAGCAAAGCAATTTCTCAGAATTGGAGAGACATTGAGACAAAAGCTAAAACAGCAAATCTGACCTAAATGGTTGACTAATCAATTTTATTGAGTTAGCTAGTCCTCTTAAGTTAGGCTTGGCTCACGGAACAGTGTTGCAAAGTGAATTAAATTGATAAACTTCAATTCTCCACCAGATTTCAACGTTTGGCTTATTTTAAACTCCTAAGCAATAAATGTAAATTGCTGTATAACAATAATAATTATTTTTTGATAATCAAATCAAATATATTTATAATATATTTGTTTGGTCTTACAAATTTTTGTGTTTATGGATATGGTTATTATTATCATTAATGTTGTTAAGTCAATCAAAATTTTGATTTTTTTAAAATATTATTTAAAAATATCGGTCCATTAATGGATTTTAATTTATTAACTAATAAATATAAATTATTT